TTGCCTTGCCTTGAGTATTACACCTTTTAATTAGAAGCCTCAACACTATGTCATCAAGCTACCTCTCCTTTATCCTTTACATTTATAAAAAAGCTATTTTATGAACATTATTACATTAACATAACACTACAGTGGGACTGGAACCAGCTCTCCCCTGAGCCAAAGATCGGCGCACTATTCCACTGCGCCACAACCTCCCCATCCAACATACCTTGGTATTTTCCCAATTCATCAGTCCACAGGCTCTCAGTCCCATAGCTTCTGTCATCGTGTATGAAAACCACTTCCGTGGCTTTAGCATCATCTGCATTCTGAATCAGCTCCTGTTGACAAATAAATAAAAATAAATGACCATTAACAGAGCATGACAAGCTCCAAATCGGGGCTACACAAGAGCAAAGTAAACATCCCTGCACACCATTATTCCACCTTTACATGCGTTACACTTAAGTTGCCTAATGGACCTCCTCTCACTGTGTAGGTGCGTACAAACTGCACTTGATTCGGCATTCCCTCACCTGTTTGATGGTTTTGTTGTACCTGAGGGTGGTATAATACCCCTTTATCATTCTTATTAGTACATAGTGTTAGGTAAAATTAGAGCATTTAACCCACCTTCAAAATTTGTCCACCATCTGGATATCGTCGTAGAATATCTTGTAGGTAGTCAATGAAGGGCGGTGCTGTTGCCCCGAAGGACGTTCTAAACCAAACATGAGGATAAAAGAGTGATGAACAAAAGTTAAAATTCTTGCAGGGTGAGTCTTCTTTAAACAAGGTATGAAGAGCTGGAATTTGAAACAAGTTCAACCAGCAGGTACTTTTGACTCATCTTTAGCCATAGGGTTGAAGTGTTTACTTGAAGTAAGATGAGGATGATATATATGTTGCCAAAAAATGTATTGCGACCCATAATATTAAGTATATTATTTGTGACTTTGCCCTCTAATACACAATGAATTGATAAAATGCCACTAAAACGTGACTGGTATGGAGAGGAATTTTGAATTGTGTAGCATGTGTTAGGGCTGCTCAATTAATCGTATTTTAATCGCAATTAAATCAACTGTTAAAAACATACTGTTCAAATGTTTTTTTCAATAAATAGATGTTTTCAAAGTAAATGGATAATTGTTTTTAATAATCGTGATATCAATTATTGACCCAAATAATCGAGATTATAATTGTTGCCATAATCGAGCAGTCCTAGCATGTGTTAAATTAATGTGTGTCATTTATACATGTGTTGTGCATAATCAGTCACGCAAATAAGCTCTACACCATCACACAGCACTTTGAATAACAACATGATGGTGCTTAGGAAGTTTAAAAAGTGAGAACAATAATGTACAATTGAATATAAGGTGATATTTTTTTCCCATACAAAATCAAAACACTAACATGTATGAAATGTGTCTTTAGGGTGAGTTACTAAATCTGTCCAGGTGAAAAAAGTGAAAAAGATGAAAAATAGCCTCTTGGCTATCTCTGGCACATTTACAGAAATGTTCATTAATGTGCACTGTCCCTTTTAAATAAATGAATAAATAAATAAAAAAGCACTCCAAAAAACAAATCAGGGTACTCCCTGGGCTGCGGGTTAAGAGACAGTTGAAACTCACCGACTTTTTTTCTTAGTATTCAAACTCATCCCTCCTGGCAAAGATTACTGTAAGAGATTAAAAAAATGTTGCATTAGCTTGCAGGAAAAAACATCCCTTTTTATTAATATGTGATGACCACACCCGCTGGCACACATATTAGAAATGTCACAAGCTCCTCTGCACATACTTTAGTTTTCTATAGTACAATCTCTCCTCCGTTGAGTTGTGTTGACCTCAAACCCATTGCACACCAATCAGCAGATACATAATGACACATTGCTTTTGTTTCATGCTTCATACAGGTAGGGTTCTCAATGTCATTGGTAGAATGTTAGTGTCTTGTTTTAGTGCACCTTAGTTGTTTTTTAAACAGTTATGGTAACACAACACAAGCAAAAGTAGGTGTGAAGGTTTTGTTATTTTTTTAAATCACAAATTAACACAGACACCTTTTAGAACAAACTTTATTTTTGCTAGATTGAGTGCACACAATCTTGTCAAATGTATAAGGTGTTAAATGTGTTAAATGTTAACCAAACTTGTAAATTACCTTTAATATGTCTAACTATATTTTTAATGTGTTACCTTTTTATAGAAGTGATTATCTTTCTATGCCAATATTTTCCTATGATAAAGTTCTCGTTTTGCACTTTTATTTTGGTAGTAATAAAATCGGGACTCTTATTTTGAAGGGACTTTTACCGGAAGTTAATGGTCAACGGAGCAGTGTAAACACTTGTCACACATGAATAATGAAAATGACTGATAGATGACGCATAAATTAACATATAATAATTAGTTATATTGGGTATTTAGCACCTGGCTGAGAAGGGCACTATGTTTGTTATTCCTTTATTTTATACGTTGATTGATATTATGTGGTGTTATTTTGTAGTTTTGCAGAGTTTTGTGTGTAATGTGTTCCGCTTCGTTAGTTAGGGGGCAGTAGTGAGCTATTTGTTACAACGGAGCTTGTCAGCTAACATAACTCTAGTAAATATGGGTTAAAACTATGTGTGATTTAAAATAACACGCTACAAATTAATTAATGCTTATTCTGGTCAAGTTCAGTTAAAAAGGGTTAAAAGGTAATGTTTCATGATTTATTGTCAGTAGGTAATTGCATTATTTAGTTTTCATAGGTTCACAAATGCAAGGAATGGAAAACATTTTATCCGTGAGACAATTAATAATTATTGTATTTTCTTTAATTGTATAGCTCTTACGTTGCTAATGATTGTATACAAGCAATGGTGTGCAATAAACAGTTACCATCAGTTCAAGGGTATGGCCATCATTCAGCCGGGGACGCTACAAAACTCCTGTCAGTTTCCTGCAGCTCACCTCCTCCTGGCAAAAGAGTGAGCTGCCGAATCACACCTGCCTTAGTGGGGTGGATGATTGGACTGTGCCATTTTTGTAAAACCAAAGAGGTGTTTAGATGAGCCACTTCACCTAAACTCCCCTTTTTTAAGTAGAGCAATTTTTTGTATCTCCCCTGCACTCAAATATGGAGTGGCTAGAAGCAATACATAATCACCCAAAGTTTTTTAATGTATTTATTTAATTTGTATCATCTTAAAGTTAGGAGATGAAGGCAGTCTCTAGACCAGGGATGTCCAAACTACGGACCGGGGACCAACTGCAACTGCAGGTCTCCCTTGAAAAATCGATCTATGATCTCAATGGGACCAATCTGGTTAAATAAAGGTTTGGAATGAACTACATAAATAACATAAAAGTCAAAAACTAAACAAATTCTAAAAGTATAATGGCCCCTTGTCATATATTGTACTTTTTTAAATGAATCTGGTTGCTGCTCGCCAACCAGACTGAGCAGCAATCTGAGGCTTCTGTTTTAAGGAATAAGCTGCCAACACTTTTTGTAACAAAGAAATTAAATAATTTGTTTTTTCAACTTTATCTTCTCTCGCAGATTAATGCTTACCCTGATCCTTTACATCTTTATTCAATATGTATTATTTTATTTATTTATCGTATTTATAGTTTACTCATGTGTTGACTTACCTGTTTGTCCATTTCAAAACTAAGGGTGTGGCATGTCCCAAATTACAGAGCATTGGCATATTGATCTTTTATTTCAGAAACTGACACACTACAAGAGAGCTATGTTAATGTTTTCTAACAATATTTAATTTATCAGAAAAATGTGTGAAACAAAGCTGACTTTTAACAAACCAGGTTTATGGATCTTGAAAACCTAAGGTCTTTATTACACCAACCCAATCCTAGATGTAAGGAGGGTGTCCGGTCTTATTCAGCTAACTAACCAGTTTACTTTTGCTGAGTCAAACTGCAGTATAAAATAAAAAAGAAATAAAAGGCAACTGCTGCCTACATGGGCCTCTGGACTTTGAACATAAGTACAATTAAGGCTTACAAGATGTGTTGCTAAAAGTGTTTCTAGTGTACAGTGGTTTATGATTCAGGGTCATGGATGAAACACATTTTTTCCACAATATACCAGCCTGGCTAACAAGCAGGTGCAGGAGTGAACGAGTGAAGAAGGATATTACTTCATACATTTCTCAAGATAATCAACATCAGGCATAACTCTCAAGTTAGGCTTCTGAATGAATGGCCTGAATTTGATTGCACTTATACCAACTGTTTATAGGGCCTCCTCTGAACTGAGTTCCTGCAGCCTCTCTGTGGTGGATATTGCAGCTGTCTCACAAAGAATAAAGCCCAACCCCAAAGCAGGAAATTAACCAATAAAATGCAAAAAACAAATGATAATTATACATACAGGGATGGTGAATGAAGTATGAGCATGAAATCTTTTTTTTAATCTGTATAAATAAGAACCTTTTTATTTCACTGGTATCAAAATAGTCCTCTATAAAAATTGTTAGATTTCCTCATATATAACCTAAAACATAGGCTACTTTTATTTAATTAGATGCTAATAAAAATAACACAAAAGTAAAACATCTAAATGGAAACAACAGTAGGCCTACCTCATTCATATTTGAAGAGTTGTCCGTTCGGTTCAGCTTGTGCCAAGTTTGCCAAATAAATGATGTTTCATCAGTTCTCCTATTTATAAAGGCTGCTGATATCCAACCCCTAATCGTCGTTTCCCGGCACATACAGTGTGTTTCGTTTTCCAAACAAGTCAAAAGCCATTTTGTACGAATCGAAACTTAAGAGGGCAGCAACATCAGTGCAAATCACAGATAGTTTCTTGTGAACTCCCCAATGAAACGAAACTTTTCTGAGGGACGAGGAAGTCACTGTAGGATAGTATCTAGGCTACCCTTATACATTGATATTGACAATAAATGCCCATCAGATACTTGGTGTTGTAAAGTTTGCACACACTGATTTAATGTTGGATCATCATAACAATAATTTGTCCGGTATAATTCATTTTTAATTTAGGATGTGCAGACTGCTACATTAATGTCTCCTTCTCTGCGACGCATAGGCAATACAAGTTATTCCGCCGCACGCTAGATGTTGCTGCAGCCCCTGTGTCCGGTAAACAGCCCTTTGCAGGAAAAAGGAGGGCTCGAAATGCTATCCCTCAGCCTTTATTTTACGGTGTAATTACAGTGCTTAACTGCACTTAAAGGATAATGTCTTTCAACAAATGCCCGTTTTATTAGGAAGAAAGAACACGGTATGTAAAATCCCTTGTTTATATGCAATTATTCGCATTGTAACATCGCATTGTTAAGGGCGAAGCCAGGCCTACATTGTAGTGCCTGTTCTTCAGTAAGCTAGTGTATTTCTATGCATCCATGGTGTTTCTGGTTTTCAATTTTGCATGCCGATTAGTTTTAGAACCGTTTAACAACACTCGTAATCTGGTCAGCTAGCGTGCGCCATTAACAGAGAAGTGATAAAGAAAATGTGATTATAATCGTCATCATATAATGTTTTTGTTTTTTTATGGCAATAAAGCTGATAAGACACAGACTTTATGCATGCATGTCTACCCTCAGCTACACAGATACATATTCTACACGATAAACATAATGTGTTTATCCCTTTCAGATGTCCCTATGATGTGTCACAGAATGAAAACCCCGCCCCTCGCTCTGTGGTAATGTAGATAGCACCATGTTGGATAATAAAACCAGTGCTAAAGACCAACAGACTGGGCAGTGCTCGGACTGTCGATGTAGCCTTCCACAGCTGGACTCTGACACAACCTCCACTTCCTCCCCTCCTTCCAAGTGTGCATCCTGCCAGGCAGGCAGCAGCCTCCCTAACGGGCGGCGCCCACACCGCCACCTCCGCCTGGACCCTCACAGCTGCAGCCTGTGCTCCAAAACATTCATCTCCTCCGCCCACCTGACCCTTCACCTGGCATCCCACAACAAGGAGAGGAAATTCAGATGTAGCACCTGCGGCAAGTACTTCCATCAGTCCTCCCACCTGATGGCACACAAGATAATACACAGCGGGGACCGGCCATTTAAATGCTCGGAGTGTGGCAAGACCTTCGGCCGGGCCTCACATCTGAAGACCCACCAGCGGCTCCACACAGGCGAGAAGCCCTTCAAGTGCACCTACTGTGACAAGTCATTCACACAGAAGGCTGGGCTCCTGGCTCATGTTCGCCTACACACAGGGGAGCGGCCGTATAAGTGTGAGCAGTGTGGCGCCGGTTTTCGCTCTCTGCCCCTCCTGCTCTCTCACAAGGCTGAGGAAGCGTTGGGAAAGGTCAAACCAGTGCCAGCGCCAGCTCCGGCACAGACACCGAGTAGCAGCGAAGGTCTGAAGTGTGGGGTCTGCTGCCGCACCTTTGTACGATCATCATACATCAGGCTGCACATACGCCTCAACAAAGGACAGCGGCCTTATCACTGCAAAGTGTGCAACAAGACCTTTGTCAAGCTGGATACGTTTGTCAACCACTGTGACAAACACTTGAGGCAGAAACGTGCTAAGAGTGGGGTAACAGAGGTTCAAGACAACGTTGTTAAACCCCCCATGTTTGTCCCGCTCTCCAGGCCTCCTTCTCCTGAATCCTTACCCACTCAGCCTTTATCCTCAGAGGTCAACACGCGCTCCAGAGCTAAAGCAAAGAGTAAAACAGAGCCATGACCAATGAGACTGCATCCACAGACAAAAAAGAAATGTGCCATGACAGTTCTGAAAGAGACGAACACAACATTTGAAATTCAATAATTCCCAAAACTTTATTTTATTTGTATCAACATTAGTTTACTTTTTGTACAGACATTTTATTTAAAAATAATTAATGTTATTTTATATTTTTTAAATGGTAATGCCTATTTTAGCTCATTAGGATAATTAAGAATTTAAGTGGCATACAATGTTCACTCTAATCTTCGAATGTACAAAAATGATTAATCTCAAACCATTATAAATGATGGTTAATCTGTTTCTTGAACCTGTACAAGCCTTTTGGCTTGTAAAACACTTGAACAAAGTAAGAATCATGTAAATTGAATGCCTATTGTAAAACAATATGCACATAAGAGTAAACATAAACATAACATCTTCTCCTTTTTGCACCTGAGATCACAAATATCTGTTCAAAGCAGTTTGTTGTTTCAGATTTCAACTATTTTCTTCAGCCCAATATTTAAATACGTTTTAATATATATAATACAGTTAAAATAATGCTCCTCTGTTCATTTGTAGCATGTAACTTCTTTGTTAATCTACCCTTTTGACATGGGTGTTCTGTAGTTCCCAGGCCTTTGACTGTCACACTTCATTCCATCAGCAGCAGCTCACATCCTACTGACCCTGAACTCAACACAAGAGGTTTTAAACTCTTACACTGTAGATCTCCAACACTTGCAGAGAATCCGTCACCTCCACATGGGGAAACTATTTTTCCCAACCTATGAACGGAGAGAAAAAAACAAACAAATGAACATCTCTAACAACACCATTTATAAGTCAAAGTCAAGATAGGAATATGGGGAGTCTAATGTATGAGTCACTTTGCACGAGTCACACATGTAACCACAATGTTGTATAAGAGAATCAAAGAATCTACCATCAATGTATCAACATGTTTATGAATAAAGAGATTTCAAAGTGAAGAATAAATATTTGCCTGGCCCTTTCCCCCTGTGCTGCTGTTAATACTCCAGTGCAGGGTGATGGTCATGTGGCGTCTCCAGACAGGGTTCCTGCGCAGGACGATGGTTCCAGCGATGGAGTCTCCCTCCAAAACTCTGACCGGCCGGTCCAGCATGAACAGAGTCTGCTTCCAGTGCGTTGGCCTGAAGAAAATAAACAACTTAATACTGTCATGCATTAAAGTTTGTGACTTTTTGTGACACTTTAAGATTTTAACAACATTATTTGCACATAGAGAAATACTCTAGGTGTTGTGTACATTGCTTGGTGTATTTTTATTTTTGTAAATGACAAATTCTGATTAGTTAAATTATGTGTCAAGGGCTATTAAACATACTGTTCAGGGCTTAGGATCATTGCTGTTAGTGAATAAACTATCCTCCACATTAAAACTACACAACATATGATATACACACATCTTTGTCTCTTTCAATTTCATGTTAGATATGAGAAATATTCCAAATCATTTTTAAAAAGCGTAGGTATAACAGGCTTGAGCCACAACTTTTCAGTCTGTATACATTTGCTTTAGTTTTCACTATTTCAGAAGTAGTGGCTAATTATTATGTGTATCCATGAAAGAAAACCAGACTTTTCCACACCAAAATGAAACTGCCCCTTTATTTCCTGAGAAATGAAACACATGGCTCTATCAGTTAGCATATCCAGCCTGTTTTGAGTGGAGCAATTATTTGTATAAAAGGGCACACCCAGCACCTCCAGGTCTTTGATCTCCAGAGTGTACATGTCCAGGAGCAGGGCATCACAGGGAGCCGTGAGGCAATCGCTGGGGTCGATGAGGTGACTATTGAAACTAAACAGGGCAAAGGACAAATTGAATTTCTGAACACATGTCATAAGATAACTAAGAAACAGGTAAACAACACTAGACTCTGTATACCTTACTAATTGTAATTTAAAGTGCGTACTAATTTGTCTACAAACATTGGTAAACAGTAACAGATTATAAACATGCTCATGTCACAACAGTTACTACTGGTAGCAACTGGTCTGCTAAATATGGACTGCAAAATGGGAAATAAAGTGTATAAAATACCTGCAACACCTTTCAGAACAAAAATAATCTCATGTTACTTGAGACCATCGGATCTGATTGGACTCAATAATTCCCTTCAGTGATTCAGTTGTATTGTGTTGATTGCAAACCTTTACTCCAATTCACCATTCTTTATTCACCAAATAATTGTTGCCTTTTTAGCACCAGGATGTCACTTGAGGATGTTGCTGTTTGAATCACATCCTGCCCATTCTGGTAACTTTCCATTGAGTATTGCTCTGCACTAACATACCCCATGAAGGAACTAAAAACCTTGAGCCATTTCCTCAGAGAAAAGGGGAATCAATTATTGTCAAATCAGCAACACCTTTTGGCAACCCCAAGCAAGTTTACAAATAGGGTGTAAAATCCTTTAAACACTAATTCAACCGATTCCTGATGGTATCTATAAATGTGGGGCATGTGTGCATATTTGAAACAACAGGAAACAGCCACCCACACACAGATACAAAATAAAACAGGTCTAGCAGGTCTCCCTTGAAAAAGAGATCAATGATCTCAAGGGATACACCTGGATAAATAAAGGTTTGAAATGAAATGAAAAAATCTTAGGAATCCTCTTATGCAATACAAAAGTTGTAGTTTACTTATTAACTTAAGCTTAACTTATCTTGTTTTTCTTCTCATGCTAGAAAAATACCAGTTAGTGTCAGAGGTCAGCGTTAATTGTGGTTGGAAAGTGACCACTTTATGTTTCGGGCAACTTGAGGCAACTTACAAAGATGCCAGTTAGTTGCTGCCTGAGACCAGCTGCCTGCTGGTGGATCAGTCACACTGGATCTATTTTGAAAACACAATTACTGCGTACACATTGAGGGCTTCATGTACAAATTGTGTATATAGTTGTAGAAATGTACATGGTGGAAACTAAAGTTAACTGTGCTTACAATAATGAATCAACAGATCACCATGTGCTTGACATACAGTAACATATTGTGGCATGTAGAGTCGATACAAACAAATGTATTCTCAAAAATGTAGTACTTTTGTGACCGATATACACTTTACTTAAATTAAAATGTGCCGCTCACAGTGAATGTGACACTAATTTGAGTTTTATTACATTGAAAATGGTTGCCATAGATGTGGCTTCTATTCTGATTGTCACATCATGATCCCTAGCATCACTACCTGGCACCACAGATTATTATACTCAACGATTAAACTTTACATCTGAGATCAAGAACAGCTGAGTAGTGGATCTTACTGAACAGGAGTACAGTCCAGTCCATAGGGCTGCTCCCAGAAGGCCATCTTCTCTGCGTAATAGCTGTTGGCCTGACATGGCACCAGGGTGAGGGCTGCGGATGAGGGCCACATTACGCCGCCTTCTTCAAGCCAGCAGTCCCTGGCCAGCAGAACTGACTCCACCATGAACTCAAACTAGACCAGAGGGCGGAGAAACAGACACAGGACGAGGTATATTCAACTCTGAGTGGGACTGTGAGCGGAAGAGCATTATGGGATCTGAATACAACTTCAATAAAACTTAAATAAAGCAGCTAAAGTAGAACAGATATTACCATTATACCTTGTGTTATTACTTATTATTACCAGTAGGCAGTTTCCCATCCACTCAGACACCAGGATGTCCACCCGCTCTGGTAGATGGATGTCCTCAGCTCGTCCCTGGAGCACCACCTCCTCACAGCCGTTCTGCTTCACCAGCTGTCTGGTGTACTCGGCCATGGAGCTCGCCTCCACAGCAAACACCTACAAATCCAAAATTAGACACTGCTCACCCTGGGGTTTGTTCCATGTAGCAATACACCTTGTCCAGCAGATGGGAGTATAAGTACACCAATGCAGAGTACCTGTGAGGATTTTTTTTTGTACACTATACTGAGATTCTGTCTTTCCACATTTCTCATATTTCCAACTTCCTATGGGTTGTTTTTAGATAATTTTGTTGACATTTTAGACATACTTTGAGCTTTAAAATATACTTTCGGGAGAAATTCAATAATGCAATTATGAAATAATGTATATTAAAGTGTCAAATGTGGTCTAATATCAAAACCCTTTGTTTTTCCAGCTGACAAGTTGTTAATACTTAATGGGAAATTCAACACATTTTACACAGTCTGTTTCATAAGTAACCCCCCCCCCCACTAGCACTACTGTTTACATTACAAAAAGGGGGGCGTGCCAGCTGAGCGCAGAACAGGCTGATGATGCCAGTCCCACAGCTGAGGTCCATCACCACCTTATTCCTCAGAGGAGCGCTGTTGCTGAGAATAACCTGTCTGTACGCCTCAGTGCGCCTCCTATTTGACAGCATCTCCAAGTGAAGCCTCTGTGGGATAATAAAATAAAATAAATAAAAAGTGATAAGAAAATACAGTTATGATGTGTGGATTTGACAAGTTAAATATGTGGAACATGTAACAAGTGATTTTAGTAACAACGTATCAGGATCAAATTGAACTATTAAGAATGTCCTCATTGTAAAACTTTCTGTGCATTTCATCTTAGGAAAATCTGATCGGCAAAGGTTTGTAAGTGAAAAGCTGAACAGCAGCATGTTCCATCTAATTCACATATCTATTCTGGGTCCTTCCAACATTGTTTGTGAATGTCTTCAATTTCTGAAACTCTCTGAATGTGTTCTTAAACACACCATATGCCCATAATGACATGTTTAAATATTGACCCTTGCAGCAGATTCTCCACCTTCTGCCTTCAGGTTGGAGGTGTACTTTTGCACTTTGTACTAAATGCAATTTTACTCATGGCAAATTGCAAACGCTGTTTTTGCTTGTACTTGTCGATAATAGAATGTGTTGCTGCCGTACAGTTGTGGTTGACGTTTATGTTATGGTTATGTGTACATTATGTTCGCCTGTTTTAATAATGTACCAGAATTGCAATCCGGGCACAATAAAGATGTATTAAATTGAATTGCATTTGCATAACATGCATAACAGTGTGATCTTTGAACGTTTCTAACCAGGGTCCCATAACTGCCAAAGTATTCCTCATCTTGCCATTGGTCCTCCAGAGAGGTGTACTCCTCCTCCTCAGCAGCAGGCGCAGGTAGCAGGCGGGGACATACCGTGCGCGACCCCCTGCAGCTCTGCCCACCACCACTCTGAAGAAGTCTTGGCGTGCACGAGCAGCTTGTCCCCGCTGCGGAAACTAAGCTACGAGACAAAAACAGCACAATTATAAATACCCGTCCGACTTTAAACTTTCCGGTACAGATGTGCAGTTATTAGACCAGGCGTCTGTGTCGGTCTATAACCTGGTCGCTGCCACCTCCAGTGAAATTAGACAGGGATACTCTTCAACAGATGCATCATCATCATCATCCTCTTGATCTGCATGTCTGACGGCGCTGAATCGCCTGCTGTTTGGTTACCTGAAAGAAACAAGTGTTCACAAGGCCACACGGTGCATCGATAAGTTAGGACTGAATACTTTTGTGATGTGAGCAGTTATTTATCATCACAACACTTCAACAGAATGAACACTTCCTGTTTTGACGTCAGTTTAAATTACTGTGCCTTCAGGTGCTGTCGGACACATTGTTATCATTACTCGAATCGAACATAATTCACGAGTTTCTATTCTAATGTTAAAAGTACTCAAACATAAATGTTAAATAGCTCATGTTTAACATTCCACGTAAAATGTTTTTTCCTTTTAAAAAAAAAAATATATACATATAAGTGTTTGATCTGGTTATAAGTAACATCATATAATGCACATCAAATATTTTTCTTCATTTAGTCACAAAAGTTATATTCCAACACTCTATGCTGTTGTTACTGCAGGCTAATTAACATGAAGCATTAAAAGTAAAAGTGTATCATGGTGACTTCAAACCATAGAAACGGAATTTTAGAGGAGCACCTGAAGGCAGCACTGCGCTCTGGATTGGTGGGATAGAAACGACTTCATTGTTAAAAACTCTGACACTCTTCTTCTAGCACACAGAACGGTTACACAAAGAATTACTACTGGTTTTATTTTTTATCTTTTTTATTATTTTTTGAGTAGCATTAGTGCGCTTCTTAATTTTCAAAGTATTAACACCTAAGTCATTTAAAAACAAATGTATACTTTAGTTATTCATTTCAGTCAGCGGAAGGTATAGGAGCTCGCCCTTACCCTGCCACCAAAGTTACATTTCAATTTATACTATACAATTATTTATTTTCCCAATTTTTTGTGGATAAAAAAGACATTTAAGCACACTTGTTGTTTCTCATTGAGAACAAAGAAACAATAAAAGGCACAGTTAACAGTATACAAACATAACAAATATTTATTTTCATTTAATAAAAGACTCAACATTGAACAAAGCCATGACTTAATTAGGCATATATTCAGTGTGCAGCTCCAACAGCTTAATATTTCACACTTTATCTCATCACCTCAGTAGATCAAGCGTGTTTATTTAATTCAGTCTTCTGAAATGTGTGTGTTTTCTTTTGCTGTTCAACACAACAACCAACATTAAGGAGTTCTTGCCAGGAGCATGTCACACACTCTTTGTTTCAGCTGTCTTTGACTTGAGGAAGGGCTTATGCAGCACATCATAGAGTCGCCTTGCCTAAAAACACAAAATGCCAACATGGTACTTTTAGAAATGTTCCTTATGCCAGCTGTGTATTTATACCACCACGCACATGTATTTTAACTCACTTTTTGTGGTCCAAGGCCTGGACAGAGAACCAAGTCTTCCTTAGATGCACTGATGATTCCTTCTACAGACTGATAGAAATCACAAAATACATCATCCCAAAAGGACAAGATGAATTCAGAGTACTCCATAAAATCAGCCTGTGGATATGCCTGTCCATATTCACTGATTGTAGTGTAGCAGCAATTTGAGGAGAAATGTTCACTGAAGTGGTACTCACTGAGAAAGTGGACAATAGGGTAATGGCATCGGTCTTGTTTATGGACTTCACAGTGGTGAGGCAATCAGTAACCTTAAAACAAACCAATCAAATCAGAAGTGCACCACTGTAATTGTATTGAATTGACCTCAACAATCTACGTGGCTGCATCCAGTTCAGTCCATAACACTGTAAGGTCCTCCGTATTTTTTTAATTGACAAAATTGTCAACAAAAAAATAGCAATGGACTACACATTCTTTAACGTGAAGACTTAAATCCACACACCTGCGACAGATAGTTTTTTTCAACTTGCTCCTTCAGTAAGTCTGCTGGTTTCTTTTCATATGACTTGTACGTTTCCAGGTAACGGCCGGCCTCCTCTGGACTGTCAAAACAACACAAATATTACCTTTGTTTATTTATTTATTCTTTTCTAATTGTATTATGAGGCACAGTATTCCCTGCTCAACAGAAGCAGGCACATTAAATAGAGATCTGTTGATCCTGGTTCGAACCAAAAATATATAATAAAACATATCTGATAAATGACACAATTAGATGCTTGAAGTTTTAAAGAATGTTTACAACCTCCTACAAACTTAAATTGCATCTCATGACACATTAAACATTAGAGTATCAGTCTTTATCTTCTTATTGAGAGAAGCATTTTAAAACTGTTTCCAACTATACTCTTCTCTATGTATGTTACTGTTCAGTCCTATTGGAAATCTGATGCAGGTCGTACCTCCAAGCCAAGATCAGAGTGCAGTCAGCCATGATGCATATGCGAGCCAGCTCCTTCAACGTATGATGAGGGTCTTTCTGTAATAAAAAAACAATGTCAGAGAGAAAAACACAAATGAAATCTTGAATCTTTTTTTAATGGAATTTATGTATAAAGAATGAGAAGGTTTTTGAAACACATCTGTTATTCTTTTTTATACAGCATCTAGTATTTCACATGTATGATTTCCTTCAATACAGTACTCTGAAAACTTTAGACTGGAATTACATTCTGTTAGATAATTGTACTGAGTCAAAAGGAATAGGGAGTACTCAACTGATGCAAAGTAGTCAAATACCCAAGAGAGCTTTAGATCAACGCATTATATTGCCCAGAACTTTTTTCTTCTCAAAGCAAAGCACTTTTAGCTGTAACTTAACAATTCTGACTGAATTATTATAACTTGTCAATGTTTTGATCATAAACCCACTTTTTGCTTACCACATCTACTTGAACCAGCAACACTCGCAGGGTGAAAGTCTGTCCAAGCAGTTTGAGACGATCGTGGATATAGTTGGGATTGAGATTGTGATACCTCAGACTTCAAGACAGGCCCCAGCATCAGTGTTTCAGCAAAACAGAACAAGAGAGAACATTTAAATGAAAAAGTTGTATTTTGCACAATAAATTCGAAAAAGAATGTCTCCTCTACACAAACAACTCTTATTAGTCTCACATACAGTATACACAAACACACTCTTCTTGATGTAAAAAAAAAACACACCTGAGAAAGAGAGCACAAGTTGTCTGGCCCAGGATGTAGTCTGGTACGGCCTCACCAAACTCCCAAGGGACACTCCTCACAAACTTCAGGATTGGATTTCCCCTCTGAATTGGAATAAAAAAAAGATGCAGAGGGATACTTACTGTTTAGCAAGCAAATAACAAGCAGGAGAAGAGTCATATTTCCACACTAATGGGCACAGTATCAGCAAACTGATGATTTGAGTAAACCTTTTGACTCTGTATGGGAATGAGTGTGTGCAGAGGGTGAATGTATGGATGAAGAGCTGGTGTTTTCATTTAGAAACCTAATACATAATGTTGCATTGAGCCAAGAGGCACATACATGTTTATGATGCATACCTGCCGGGGACTGACAATAATGCTGCTCCCAGACCCCACTGGTTTTGGCCCCAGGTTTAGGCTTGGATATGACCTTTGACAATTCCCCTCTTCCTGGTGTGTGCCATCATCCACCTGTGTCTTCTCGCAATTCTCAGATCCATCTGCAGTCCCTTTAGCAGGGTCCTGAACTGTTTCACATAAGCCTGGGGCAGAACGCACTGAATCTGAGTCACTTTGCTTCAGATTGCTGTCTCCATCTCCTTCAGTCCGGAGCAGTTTGGAGGGACCCACTCTTTGAGGAGGACCAGCCACACTGCTTTTACTCTGGACGACATAATCTGCATAGGAAATAGGCTGGTCCACTGGTTCATTGGCAGGATTTGTTGAACATGAATTTGATGATGAGGTGTTTTGTCCTTCTTTAGACGAAGCTTGAAACTGCGGCTTTGGCTGGAACACAAACAAATGAAAAATCCTGTCAGAGGCTCGAGAATTATGGAATGAGTGGCTAACTCGGTTAGTAATTTAAAATGTAAGGAATGTACTAAAAGTAACGTTAGTTAACAGATGAACAACTAGCTAGCTAATTTCTTAGATGCTGTACAAAGTTAAATGTTGCTAAATACAGACCGGTGTTCTTTCTTTGGTGAAAGCAGAGTCATCCAGGTTGATGTTAAACCTCTTCTTCATGATTTTTAGCTGCTTAATGGTTTGTTAGGTAACACCATAGGTTAAAGCATGCCACTGAAGTATATTTCATGCAATTCTCGAAAACCACTATCCTCTCGCTTTGAGAACTACTGACAACAACATTACCACTTCCGATCCGATACCTTCAGAATAAAAGCACACACAAATATTAACTGACTAGACAATTTACATTTAGCACAAGCTATAACCATCTCATCACGTTTATTTTTTGTCATTTTAACTATCAGAAATACATCTTGATTAAATAATGTTTATTTCTGGACCAGGGTATCAAAACCAGCAACACATAAGGATGATATAAATATCAAAATGGTGCATCAAAACCGATCAAAACCAGATATAGGCTACATCCATGTATAGGATATACTTTATTGACACTGTATATTATATAAAATAATAAACAATAACGCACATCAAGACAAAACCAAGAAGTAGACATTATAGACCCACCGTTTTCTACAGTTAGCTAACGTGGAGCGTGTAGTTGTCAAGGCGACAGTGAGTGACGCTGCCATTCAAACCACGAAGCATGGCATTTCGGGATACCTTTTCCATCATGGCGGATAAGGTTGTAGGCTAACGTTAACGGTTAGCATATTCAACCATTGTTGTTTTTTACACATTGCGGGACTGCATACTTCTGGCATTTTAAACACAGGAACTACTTCTACCGAAAACAACCTGGGTAAATATATGATACAGAATAGACAACTTTCATGAGCAAGCGAACTTGCTTTGTTGAAACAAGAGGCGGCTAAAAGTCCTAGCACACTAGCTTGCTGAATAGCTACTAGCATGCTAACGTAGTAAGCAGTAATGGTGATGAGCGAGTGGATCGCCGATTAGGCCGCGGCGTGCAGGCAGCATGTTGTACTATAACAGCTTGTCCATTTGGTAAGCGTGCAATATAATTAAGGTTTGAGGGAATACCAGTGTATACAGACGTATTCACAGCCATTATTATCCTTATCCAGCTGCATTGATCTATGAATGGATGTTGACGCTACTTACGGCTTTGCAGGCCCGGCAGTGATCAGCGTTATCTAACGTGTCTGCTGCTGCTGCTGCTTGAAACTTTTTTCTTTTTGCTT